GGACGGAGAGTGGGGGGGGCGCTTTTAGCCAAAAAGCAGAGAAGAGCAAAAATAGCAGCAGCTGTGGAGTGTTTTGCAGTAACACTAGAACAAAATCAGAATATTAACCATCCAAAAAAAAACAAAAAACTTCTGGCTCTAAAATGACAGAGTGTTTAACCTCCCAGTGTGTAAGTTTAGGATTTTTTTTTATCATAGTCTAAACAGTAAATCAATCAGCTGGGTTTTTTTTTTCTTTTCTTTAAAAACATGTTCATATTAGTTTATGTGATCTGCAAACCATGACCTATGACCTATGACCTCTAGCATATTAAATAACCACTAGTTTTATTATCTCAAATCAGGTCTGACCGAAGATTTGTAAATATGATTGACAAACAGTTGTGTGTTAATGATGATTAATCATGATTAATTAAGCTAATGTAATGTAATAAACTGAAATGTGAGTGAAATTATTGTATTTTGATGCCAACGTTCTGCCAACGCCCCTGCTGGTAAAAAGGCTGAACACCACTGTTTTTCACAAACAGCAGCAGGAAACGACCTGTTGGTAGATGCTCCTTTTACTGAAGGTAATGCTACAAATCACAATTTATTTTTGTTTATGTTTATAACTTTTTCATTCTACTTTTGCCCCTGTGTGATTTTCCTGGTCGTTCCATCATCGGTCCAAATGTTTGGTACAAGCATTTCTGTTTCTGCAGGGTTTGATGAATCACCTTTGTCTTTTTTTTCCACTCGTAACTTGAGACACAGACATTTGATTTGTCAGGCTGTTCAGCGAGGCAGCGGCAGAGAGCAAGTGAAACAGAGAAATTGTGTGAGTTTTGTTTCTCCTCTGGTTCCTGTGGTGAGACTCTGGAGAAAGACAGAAAAAAAAGAACTCACCTGGGAGAAGCTGTGGGTTTTCCTCAGGCTGCAGGCAGCTCTAAACTCTTTGTACGTCATCTTCAGATGAAGCTCGGCTCCGTGGCCCACAGGGCTGCTGCAGCAGCTGCTGCCTGGTTCTCTGCACTTAGTTTGGGAATAACTCTTTTTTTTTTTTTTTTTTTTTTTCCCTGCTCTGATGTGATGAATGTGTGCATGTTATGGACCCTGGTGCTGATGTTTCTGAAGAGAACTAGAAGTCCATAATAATATATAAGAAAAATAAGAATAGGTTTCCCTGATGGTTACAAATCATTTTTTTATCATTACGCCATTTTTATTAGTAATGTTTCAAAAACACGGCCGACTCAAAGCTCTGTCAGAAGTTAATTAAAAACAAGGATTTTTTTATATATATAAAAGGGGAAATAAATCAAACAAAACTCCAGTAAAAGGGATTTCTCCTCAGTCAGATGATTAAAAGACAAAAATTTAAATCTGTGAAATTGTCCTGAATTTCAGAATGTGATGCAGATTCAGCAGCGTCCATCCAGGCCGTCGGGTGTGTGTGTGTGTGTGTGCATGACATGAATATGATTGAAGGAACGAATGTGACGGAGAGAAGAGCCTCAGTACAGACGGTCTGATGTGTCTGACAGCTGCTGCTTATGGATTTATTTAAGAAAAATAACGGAGGACAGACGGGAGGAAACCGGAAAGATAAACATACAAAAAAAGATGAGACTAAAGACATGTCTCTCTCTCTCTCTCTCTCTCTCTCTCTGTGTGTGTGTGTGTGTGTGTGTGTGTGTAACGGCGTCCTCAGTGCAGCTGACAGCTCATCAAGATGATTAACACGTGGCGTGGAGCGGACATGACAGTGTGTGAATGTGGAGGGCGTGTCTGACAGCGAGCTGTCTGTCATCAGGAGAAAAGCAGCGCGGCCGTAAAGACAACAGTCTTCCATTATTTAGCAGAGACACAACGTGACAACTGAAGGTACGTGAGAACAACAGGGGGAGGAAACACTCACAACTTTCTGAGGAGACTTTTCCTTCGTTAAAGAAGCCACGCTCTGAGCTCTGAGAGAATTAAATGGCATTTATTATCACTTTTTTAGCAGATTTTGTTTATATGTATTATCCAAAAAAAAAAAAAAAAACGAAGACACAGTTGTGGGCAAAATACTTATATTTATATATTCATATATTAAAGAAAAATGATGATCTGATTTGATTCGATGTCAGGCTGTGTTTAAAATCTGTTTAAATACCGAGAAAATTGTTCACAGAAAAAAAATATTTGATATGTGACTGTAATATTTTACTGCAGTATTTTGTAGCATTTTTTTATACGAGTGAAAATGTCCAAATAAGCAGAAAATGTCATTTTAATTTAAAGATATGTGGACGGTAAAACCGTCATGGGCCTGTTTATGAGTCCAGCAGAAATGTTCACTTTTCACACACACACACACACACACACACCAACAGAAGTGAACCACAGGACAAAACAAACACACAATGGATTTAATAGAAACCCATTTCCTTTTTAGAGGAGCAGTAAAAGAGGAATTTCCGGCCTGTCCTGGTCTTCTCGTCTGTCCTCAGGGTCACTGTGGCTCTGCTGCGATGGACTGTGGCCCACTAATAAGCCCAGCTCATCAGGGTGTGGCCGAAACCACACGCATCTAAAACCAAGAGCAGCAGCAGCAGCAGCAGCAGCGGCGGCAGCAGCAGCAGCAGCAGCGGACGCATTTGTGCCCCTGTTATGGTGGGCCGCTTTAATGTGGTGTGGGCTGCTACTGTATTGGAACACATGTGAATGGCTTTGTTTACACAGCTTTGGTAGTTTTCTGTGGGTGTGTCAACATCACAGTGTTGATGACATGACGTGACATGACGTGATGTGATGTGATTTGTCGTGTTATGAAGTAATGTGATTATAACGAGATGCTATGACATAAAATAAGATGTGATGGGATGTGATTTGTTCAAATATGTAAATACCAAGACTCTCTCTACAAGTACCACCTTTAGGTCCAAAATGCGTCTACGTGAAGTGTTTTTTTTTTCTTTCTGTGAAGTCATATTTTATATAATTCCCGGCGATCCTTCTAGATCACAGGATAACCTTCTTCTCTTTGGAAAACTAGATCCGTTCAAATGTTCCTTCAGTTTCAGAACCTGTTCTTGATGGTTGTAACACAGTAACACTCAAGACAAAGACCAAATGATGTTACCTGTTAGAGCAGGCATGGCCAAACTAGGGCCCGGGGGCCAGATGTGGCCTGTACAGATGTTTAATCCGGCCCTTTTCAAACCTTTCCAAATTATATAATTTATTTATATTATCATTATACTTCTGCCTTTTCCCTGCAATACCCACGTTTCCCCAATAGAGGGTGTAGAAAATGATAAAAGCTTTTTAGCCTTTTAGCCTTTATGCATGACTTTATCATGTCGTTTATCTTAGTTCACATGAACTCTCCATCTATCTGCTCCTGCCCCCCCCGCCCCACCCCCCCCCCCAGCGCCTCATAAACAACTGTGAGTTGACATTCTTTACTCAGGTGGTATTAAAATCAAATCCTTTTTTTTAAATCATAGCAACCGTGTTCGAATGTTTTGACTTTGTCAGAATAAAAGTCACTTTATTATTTCCTTTTACTCACCCTCCCATCTCGGTGGGTCAGTTGCGTCCAGATTGGTAGTTCATCCCACATGATGGAGTACCTCCAGTGTTTAACCCTAAATTGCCCCTGATGGCTGCCATCACTGTGAGAATATAAAGGTAATAAAGAAGCACTATACATAAAAGCTCTATAGCGCGTCAGTGGTGTCTGTGTGAAGTGTGCTGAGTGCTCATTAAGACTGGAAGTGCAGGGCATTTACCTTCCACCCATAACATCCAGTAGTGTGCAGTGATTATTTGTTAAAGCTGTAAGAGCGAGACATT